AAAAATGGTTAGGGAATAAGCGACGTCCTTCTTATTTAGTTTTAAGTAGAGATATGGAGCTTGGGTAAAATCTGTTATCACCTCACCTACGTTCACAAGGTTTCTATAAGCTGGGCTGTATCACTAACCTAAGAAAATGGTGATGAAATGGTGTGCGACGTTAGTCTCGACTAACATTACTTCGCGCCAAGGTGCAAAATGACCGTTTTAATGACTAACCTCATCTTAATTACGCGCCCTCCCTTGATCGTAACTAACCTTATTTTACTTATGAGAGTGATGGCGAATGATGAGAAGATGAAACTTCGTGAAGATAAGTTTTTCAACGTAAAATTTTCATGGTCTTTGGTTTAAAGAGCTTTATTATAATACCATGCAAAATGATAGAAATTTCAACAAAAATTTCCAATAAAATGTAAAGAAGACTAATTTTTCTAATGAGAAATATCTTTAAAATAACTAAAAATAATTAAACTAAAAACAACTCAGATTGTCTTGTTCGTTAAGAATTTGGACATCATTTGAGGTAATAGGGAGGGAATTGAAAAAGGTTGGGTAGATTGGAGCGAAGGCTGCGGTACGTTTTTGAGCGGTTCGGTAGGTACGGAAGTGTCGTCAGAATACATACTAAGGTTCTGAGCAAGGCTTATTTTCTATAGTTAATAGGTGCATACAAATCGCTCGCCCACCAGCTTGAACATTAGCTGAAGACCTCTCTTCAATGTGCTGAATTAAGTCTGAAGTATTGTAATATTCCGTGAGAAGTGTGAAATGGCCTAACTGATCAGCCGGCGGGCGTTCAATGACTTTCAAACACGAGATGTCCCAATATCAAGCAACTACGTCGCTTCTGTAAGTGTTGTTTGATATCGCGGTTGAGTGGAAACTCAAAAAAAGATTTTTTTTACATCTTACACGAATTTCATTTCTATGACCATCGAATTTTTCTATCCTACAGGAATTTTTTTATTTTTCTATTTTATATGGTAATAAGATTCTTTAAACCAAAGACCATGAAAATTTTACGTTGAAAAACTAATTTTCTTGAATTCCACTTTCTCATCATTTCCATGACTCGCCATCACTCTCATAAGTAAGATTAGGCCAGTTACGATCAAGGAGAGGCGTAATTGAGATGAGGTTAGCCATTAATGAGGTCACCTCGCACCTCGGCGCGAAGACTAATGTCAGTCGAGACTAACGTCCCTCACCCGTGATGGAAGGATATGGAGCCCAACTCTAGATACGTATTGATTGCCCATTTATAAATGTTCATAACATGAGAATATTTTTGACAACGAACCGTTGAGTTTCGACTGAACTTTGTATCCGGTAAGAAACAGTTGAGTTGGGTCGAACATTGACATCCGTCCAAGCACTCTTTTCCCTCTTCTAAACGATGAAGAACACAGGTCGACTTTGTGTCGTGTTTCTCGGTGATTAGACGGTGACAGCAATGTCCTAAAAACCAGCAAAAAGGCATTTTCAGAGTAGAGAGAGAGGCGTTGAGCGCCGAGCGTTAGGCATTGAGCGTTGAGCATCGAGTTAGAGCGGCTCTCTAGGCTTCCACGCCGCCGCTGACGGTCTTTGTGTTGGAGCGGGTTATTTCCCAAACAGAGCTCTTTCGTAATGATATACTTTCGTTACGTTACCATGAACAAAAAATTTTTAAAAAATCACGACCATTAAAAAACAAAAAATGTTCACCGCCGGCCCACGACCGGCGTTGGTAGGGGAGCGCGCGCTCATCGCTCAACGCTCCACTCTGACAGACGCTAGCCATGGCTCCAAGGTGCTGATCGCACCGAGACTGCCTAGTGTGAAGGATTGGTGCATCAGACCTTTTGCTGAGTATTCGATAGCTAATGTTGAGAATGTTTGAATATTGTGGAGCAATGAAGAAATAGGCAGACCTGGCCGGCAATCTTTATGAGCAGAGCAAGCCGTGCCGTTTTCTCCGCTACGTGATCGGCTTATGGCTGGTTGTATTCGTTTCAGCTGAATTAAACACTTTAATTTGCACTTAGCTTTTTTCAAATTGATGCCAATGATGCGGAGAGGATCGATGAGTGGATAAAAAGGCAAGGAAAAGCGATTCAAACGCAACAATCGCAACATCTTACCTTCTGGATCACCGTTTCATTTATTGGAGGATTTATGGACGTTGCTACCGTCGTCGTCGTAGTTGTTATTGAAGAAGAAGTATTAGTCGATGGTGACGATGAGTTGCTACTGGACAGCACCACTTCAGAAGATACTATCTGAGAAGGGTATTAAGTCAAATAGAAGTATGAGCAATGGCTCTCTTAGGTGCGCCAAATTGCACTTGATTGCCTCGAAATCGCCGATGTGATTGCAAGGTTCAGGTGGAAAAGAACTTAATGAATAGTGCGCAGATATGGATACAGCGGATAATACCGCTCATATGGCGATAGAGCGTCACTATCAAGTTACTTAATTGACAGCTGACCTGATTACCCTCAACGAGTCGCCGTTCCATTCGATCCAGTCTTTTTACGATGCCTTTTAACTTTTCTAGCAAACTCTTCCGCCATTTTATGCCTTTTCGACCTTGACGACTCTTCTGCTTCAGCTTTACCTCGGTTTTGTCAAAAACAGCAGTTGTATCTGGAAAAGTTTTGAATAACGACGATCCCAATAGGAGTTATGAACAGTAGAAGGCATAGGAAGAAGGATGGAGGTGAGGGAACAGAAAAACAAACTCACTGGGTTGCTGGAGTGAGAGTGTAAGGATCCTAATTTCCTCCCGTAATTCTCTTAATCGTTGCTTTTTCTTCCGCAATATTCGACGTTCTTTACGCCGTTCCCTCCGTGCCTTAACCAATGAGTTATCATCATTCGAGGCAATTATTAACTTTAACTATGGTAGCTAGGCTGCTTCCCCCTCCCCCTTTTGTACCTAGGAATACACATGTGAAAGTAAATATTCGAAAAGACCTCTTTCGTTAGCGGTAGAAGAGGTGAGATGACGTTGGTGTCGACGGCATCCGAAAGAATTTCAAGGCTCGTTGTAGATATGGCTCCGGCAACGGCGAACAGCGAAATCAAGGCCACATAAATGAAGCAGCGCATTCTCTTTGTGACCAAATGTCCTTAATGAAATCCTTTTCTGTTTGTTTGTTTCCACTACCGTAAAAGGGCAAATATCGTTCATCGAAAGAGGAAACAGAAAATGAGCGGCGAAGGAAACTAAATTGAATTACTGGTACAATTTGGTCGGCCTATGGGGACTTGTAAATGTTCAGGGTTCAGGAAAGAGCCTTTATCAGCATGCGTTCAGCGTCATCCCTCCCTCCAATGCCTAACAAGGTATGCCCGTGTAGACCGCTCGCGGGCGCTTATGCGGGGAGTTTTCTGAGACCTATAAAAACTGAAACGGAAGAGTATGAGTGTTTGTTGTATTGCAGATGGAGGGATCATCTTTGTAAAAGGTGTATAAGGATTTCAAGGAGTTTTAATTCACAGCTTTTTTCTCAACTCTGCCCAGTCTCCTGGAAAGTAAAATAAGTGTGGGAGAGGTAGAGGAAGCGAACAAAGGAGCGAGCGGAATAAACCTTCAGACGAAGTTCTATAATAAATAAGCGAAATAATGAAAAATAGCATAGGATTGAACCCAACTGTAAAGAGGAAAACGCAAAAAAGCGATATCATGAGCATACGAGTGTTTGGAACTGAATTGTAGACGGTTCCTGTTCACGGTAAATATAATATTATCGGCAAAGGAATGTACATTACCCCAAGCGCTTCTCGTTTGGATGCCTTCAATCCTATGAGCCGTGAATAAGTGCCAACTAATGTGGTCATAAATCCTTCCCCAAATGGAGTTGATGGAACAGCCTAGGAAGCTATAGGCTACCGGGGAAATATTGCATTGATTTCATACGACCGTATTTTGAGGAATCAAAAAAGCTTCAACGAAGTCAAGTGGGTGGATTCAGTAAAAACCGGTCAATGATAGATATCGATGTGAAAGTGGATCAGTTATAGCGCCCATAGGAATAGCCTGATAGCTAAAGGAGGAAGAGGCAGAGAGAGAAAGGCAACAACATCGAACGAGGGTGCAGAGAGGCAGAAAAGAAAGAGGGAAAATGAGTAGAGGAAATAAGGGGGAATAAATGAATGAGGCGATTGACGGATGCATGAGTAAACGGGCGGATGGATTGGATGAATGAATGAGTGAATGAATCAGTGAATGAACGCAGGAGTGAATAAATGAATCGCTCAACCAATCAATCAGTCGATTGATCAATGAGAAAGAGGGATAATACAGATGATGGATTCTCAGAAAGGATTTGTTAGTAAATAGATGCGAATATGGCGAGAAATGAAGTAAAGTAGTGCCGCTACCACGCGTATGATCTTGGGAAAGGATCCCGTATGAATTCCACCAATGCCTACCAAGATTCCTATACCATCGGTGTGTGAAGATCGGTCACGGAGGATGAGATTACTGGATTCTGATGAGCCATGAGCTCAACTTCTCTCGAAATCTTAGTGGTGACTGAATGTGTACTAAATATATCCCATAACTTGTGACTAGCACAATAAGATTTTGAGAGAAGTCGAGAGCATGGCGCATCAGAAAACGGATTGTCTATATGAGTGGTTCTTCTGTCTTGAGGTCTATTAAGTGGTTTTTCTTTTTCATTTCGGACTTTCTACTTTCCGATACAACAGTAGTACCGAAGTAAAAAAGGCATGAGCTGACTGGCCTCGATGGACTGAGCGGCACAACTGTTTTAATGTCAACAAACTGGTCCCCCTTGAAAGCCAATCTTCTTGGCACTGATTTTATAGATCGAGTGAAATGGAAGAAATGGAAGTAAAATGTAGTTAAAAGGAAAGGAGGATTCTAGAATGAAAGTGATAAAGAGTATGTACCATCAGTAGTTACAAGGTGTCATCACATTAGTCGGAAAAAAAGTATGGAAGAGGGATAGATTGGTGCGTAAGTTACTGGATTCCGTGGGAACGTACCTATTTCGACCTCATAATTTCAATAGAATGGTGTTTAATCAAAGTGAAATGCTGCCAACAAAGAACGAGGAGGAGGAAGGCACGTTCGTGTCTGGCAACGTGTCTTCAGAGCTAAGACTGAAACGTTTTTGTCACAGGTTATTCAGCTCCGGCCCAAGGCAATTTATCAACATTTCGGACGCCCTGTGTGCAGCTGGGCCGGGAGCCAGGCTGTGTGCTGTCTGCGTCGATTCATAAACGGCGACATGCTTTTCCCATCTATTTCGCTTCGTCTTTCGTTGAAATACTAGTCATCCGAGCAAGGAGGTGCAAGGGAAGAAAGGGGAGAATTGGCTGCAACCAATTTTCACTGATTTTACGAAATCCTACAACAACAGCATTAGTCGTAGGCCACCTTCTTTCGTGGTCCAGGTGATAAAATTAAGAATGTGGGTGGCTCTTTGTCGGCATGATGTTTACCCTCCGTTCAAAAACCTCACCAAAACATAAACGTAGTTTATCTAGTATACTATTATTTTTCAAGTATATTTACCAGTAGTTGTTTACTATTTACATATCGTGTTTGGAGGCCTCGAATGACGACATTATTTTAGGTTCTGAAGGAAGGTCCATTAAAAACCCCGATCTTTCAGAAAGCATTTAAAACTAGGAGTTGTACCACGAGTGGTTATACCCCTTCCGCAACTATTGCCAACCCCCGCGGGGCCCAGCCAATAAACAAAAACACCATAATCCGGTGAGACCGACGCCTAAAGTGATTCATCAGAAAATCCATCAAAAACTGAGCCAAGGCGAGTAGTACAAGTGAGGCAGTTTGGATCGAATATGCTACTGCGGGTGGCCCTCTCGCTGTTCCCCAGGGACTTTGTCTGGAATGCTAAATGAAGGAAGTTTGTCGGCAATTAAACCTCCTGAATGTTCGTTTTAAACGTTTTGAACGCTCGGTCTATTAATCACAATGATTCAAATTATTGAAAAACGATTCCACAGAAAGCATTTAGTCAGTTTTATATGTTATTTCTACATTTGCCATGAAAATGCCGTTGTTTTTCACAGAGATGAATTTTCAAACATTTCGTTCACTTAGGAAAGTGCAGCCAAAAGGGTAACTAAGTAATCATCGAGAAGAATTTTGAATGAAAAAAAACCTTTTTCAGTCCAAGGTCTTTTAGACCTTGACGGTCCAAGGTCCGGTGTTTAGAGGCAACGAAAAAGCTTAGTAGATTGGGTGGAAGTGGAGGTAATGAAAGAAACTTGGCAAGCACCACCGTAAACTGTGGTTGGCTAGTTGTCGAGCTACGCACGAGAGGGCGGCAATACAGCCAATGAGGGATGAGTTGGGAACGGCCACTCTCTGCCGTCATTTTCTTTTAGACCCGCTAGAGTGTACCGGTAGTAGGCCCGCTAGAATATCTCGAATGCCTTAAGTATTGTTTATTTATTCACTTATTTGTTCATTTCTTAACTGCGCGTTTTGTGACGAGTCAATCCGAATCATGCGAATCACTGAAAATTGATTTTTAATGAATCGAAAGAGTCCAAAAACTTACAACAATGAGATCCCATAAAACTGCTGACGTTTGGCGATTCGCAAAAAGTTGCACGCCAGGGAATCGGGTCTGAATGGATGGGAGAAAAATTTGAGCAGGCGGAAAGTTGGTTCCTAATGACCCGTTGTCGCCTGCACTCGCTCGGTGTCGCTCGGATAATGTCGCTCAATCAATCAATGTCGTTTTTTTTTCAAAGCATCTCGTTTCTTCCTTTAAACATCACTTGAATTCTAAATAATGCACTCCATAAAAATTACTCCCTACTGGGAGTAGGAAATATTTAAAAAATAAAATTTTGACAGGTTAAGTAGATGCTCTATGTTGCGTCTATACTTCAGACTTCCCTCAGCTTGTGTAAAAAATGGATATCGATTAGTCACACGTGCATATGATCAATGAATATTGCGAATTTCGTCTTGATTAATGAGGAAGACTGATGTGTGAAAAGACCCTTACGTGAGAAAACCAAATTGACTAGTAATAGCTTCGCACATGACTTGATCTGTCCTTCATAGCCGTTGGCCTTGAAATCCCTTCATGAGATGACGGTCGAGGACATAACATGATGCAAGGGCAGTATTTCAGGGCTCTGTTCAATATCACTGCCGTAGTCCTTATTGATTACTAGTAAAATAACACGTGCTGGTTGCTAAGAATAGCGTGACAATGCTGGGATCACAGTAGGAGCTTTAAACCGCGCTGAACTTCCTTCTTCCACGACTGATATGAGGTCTCATCCATCATTTTTCAAGTCTACTCTGTTGCAGATCTAATTAAACGCTTGTGGAGATAGAATCAGCGCCCAACTGCGAATGGACATCAGAATGGAATTCAAAGTGAAGAACAAACTCCCATTTGGGAAGGGCAATCATTTTACCTAGGGGGATAAGGGTGTGGAACAACGAGAAGTTCTATTTGAAAGACGAAGTTTGATTTAATGATTAATGTCAGAGACCAGACCATAATCAGAATAGGGAAAAGACGATGTCGGAAATGGAAAAAGAAAGCAGCAACTCGGGGATTTACGCGTGTAAAACAATAAACTTTACAAGAATCAAGAGTAATCTATTCCAGTGATTGGCTGGGTTCCAAAATTGGAAAGTAAAAAATGACACATTCTCTGAAAGGATGAGGAGTACAAGCGAAAATAGACTGTCTCCAGCTGTGAGTGCAACAGCCACCATCACGATGAGCAAACAGGTGGATAGTGAATGAGATGTATGCTGGTCGGCTTGATCCAATTACATCTGGTGTTCTCTCGCCCCTCTACTCATAGCATTGAACAGGTGTGCCCGTAACAACGTGCTGAGTCCAGAAGGATGAACGGACAATTCTTCCTCACAAATCTATTCAGACGTTCAGAATTTGATTACGAACTGCTCCACCTTGTAAATAAATCTGACTGCTTGCAAATTTTTCGGAGATTTGTGATCTCTAAACAGGTTCGATTACGCACACCGACCAGAAATAGGATAAGAAAGAGCCCAGGTGGTGTCATATATCAAATGGCTGTCCGATAAGCCCAAAAAACGCGGAGACGCCTGA